GCTAAAGAGGAAAAGGAGCTCAGGTCCCGATGCCAGGGCGCGCGCCTGCTGCACTCCAACTCGTGGAGGAGCAGGAGAGCGCCCAATGCAGTCCACGCGCGTCGGAGACGCCGAGCCAGGCCCCGCGCTCCGCACTTCCAGCCACCCGCAGACCCACGCTCAGCGCGGGGAGGAGGGGGAAAGACACCAGCACGCTCTGCTCCCCCTCCTCTGAGTTCCTGCCTACCTACCCGCGTGCAGCCCGGCGGTAGCGAGCCAGTGCGCATGCGCTGCGTGTGATCCCTAACTTCCAAATCCCGTGACCAAATATCGCGCGATGTACATTTCCCCCTTCTATGACGACTACGGGCCTTTGACGCACTACAGTGACTAGCGGAGGGAGGGGACTACGGGAAGTAAATTTTGGAAGATTCTCAGAGGTTCTGGAACATGTTTCCATTGAATCTCTGGAAGACGACCTCAGGTGATTGTTGGCTGCAATGACTCCTCTGACGCTTTCCCCTGAATTTCTGAGCAGCACGACAATGCGGTGTTCTTTGGGAGGGACTTAGGTTTGTAATGGATTTTACACCTTTTTTTTTTTAATGTCCGCTCTCCGAGGTTCTTTTCTTTAGAGGATAGCTTGAAAAGCTATGTGCGTTATGTGTCGTTAGCTTTGCATTTTATTGTGAGAACATAGGCGAGATTAAATACTTGCAAAGAAAATCATCCACAATACCACTTCTCGTACATATTCCATTCCAATTGCTGACAAATAGAGACACCGTGCTTACACAGTTCTGATCATGATTGCAAGTAATTTTGCATTTTCTGTACCAATTTAAAATGTGAAAAATATTACAAAATACAAAAGCCCCCCCCCCCCCCCCCCCCGCAAGAGCCTTAAAAGCTGCACAGCAACAAATGGCAAAACCACTGTATAGCTGAACACTTCGCTCTAGCAGTGCTCCGGTCAGTTCCCTCAGTCCCTGTCTGCCAACCTGTGTTATTTAGGTAGTTCATCAATGAGTATCTGTCAACAGGAATTTACACAGCACTTGTGTGTTCAATACAGGGTGGGGCAAAGTAGGCTTACAGTTGTTTGTATGGAAAATAATACAATAATTAATCATAAGAAATAATAAACTGTGTTTCGAGTACAGCAAGCCTACTTTTGCCCCACACTGGCAGTAATAAAAGGAAAAAGAAACTGGGTTTTCTCTGTCATCCTAGAACTGATTACAGTCTTGGTGGGGAGAAATAGTCCTCTATGAAACTCAATGTCCCACTGGCAGCAGGTCCATTGGATGAGGTGGCTTTGACCCATTGCCCTGTTTCACATTTTAACGACACATTTTTCATTATATGACACATCTTATGTGTAGGGTGTATTGGATTGAGAAGAGAAGATAACATCACTTTTCACACCGTTTCATAATTATTTATTTCCATGTCTGTCTTGCCTATTTCCTAGTGAGTGTTTTGTCTTTGACTCTATAGCAGGCATTCATGTTGATTGAAGTAAAGGCATTCTTTGAACCACAAGATCAAAACACGATATGAAATAGGAAGCTTAGAGATCATAAATTAAAGTCATTGTAGTTTGAGTGAAAAAATTAAGGCTGGAGAGGTGAATGACTTGTTGAAGACTGTAGGGACTGTAGCAAAGCTGAGATCATAATCTGGGTCACTTGACTCCTCATCCAGTGCTTTTCCAGCCATTTGCCATTGCATTGCCCTGTTTTTAAAAAAATGTTTTTCTTCACATGTATCATCTTTTGAACTCTTTAAGAAAGTTTGACTGCCCCCTGCCCAGTGTCAGCTCCATGAGAACAAGGAACTCACCTGCCTTGCTTTTTGCACCTATGCCTGGCTACTGTGAGCACTCCATAGATATTTCTTGAGTTGAATGAATGAATGAATGAATGAGTAAAGGCTCTTTCCATTGTCCCAATCTTGTGAAATTCATTTTCTTGGAGTCTATATTTTAAGCTGATTTGTTATTTTACAGTTGGATTAATTTCAGCCTAAGTTGCCAACCTTCATCAGCAACAGCATTGTCATCAATACATATTGTTCCTAGAAAAAGATTTGAGAAAATAAAAGCTATATCCTCTTAGCTTTGATGAAAACATGTTCATCAGATAGGAACATATAATTGCAATCTGACTTTTGAACTTGGATTACAAAATGAAAGGCAATGAAACTGATGTTAGAGGCAGGCCATTTACTTTACAACAGCCATAACTGGACTCCATTTGAAATTCCCACTGTGGAATACAGTTTCATCTCTAGAAAGCGAAACAGAAATTTGCATGATTATCCATGACCTTAGTTTGATAGTAATCCTTCTGATCAAAAAATCCTCCAGCCAACCTATATCAGCCAATTCCCTTTTCACAAGCCACATATTTATCTGTTATCAGGAATTGAAACCCTAAGCTGAAGTAGATTATCTAAAAAATTGTTGAAGATAGGTGTAGCAAGGAATGATGATAAAGGCATCCATTGCAACCCTAAAACAATCCAGAAATTGGTAGTCATCCATCCTAGACACACACACACACACACACACACCCCACACTGACAGCTCTGAGCTTCTCTCGATGCCCTTTCCTATGGGGGATTCAGTGAGTGATCACAGGAGGAAAACTTGGAGACTGGTTAAGCACCCCCCATAAACTATCCCAGAAATCAGACCACCGAAAGTTCTTGACCAGAATAGTAGTCTGCACTGCAATATTCTCTTTGAGGAATGTTTACTAACAGATTAAAAGCAATAGCTAGGAGCTCCCACTGGTCACATCTTGGTAATCTGAGTACAAAAATTATTAAGGACAGTAAGGAACCATTGAAACAATAGGAAACTATGTCAACAATGACACTAAGTTGACAAATAACAAAGGGAAAGGGAGGGGCCTTGCTTACAATAGAATATCATAAATTTTTATAGTTGTTGAGCCCTGAGTATGGACTTTCTAAAGCTCAAGCCAAATAAGCTAAGAGGTAGTGGAGGACTTGGAGGGATACTGATGGAAGGTAGGTCTAGGTGGCAAAACCTCTGTGACGTACTATTGCTCAAATGCACAACTCTTTGAAAGGGTACCCACATTTTAAAAGAATGGCCTTGCAAGAAAGCTGTCCTTTTAGTAAGAGATGAATCTCTTGAAGTGGGGGCATTTCAGACAGGAGAGAACACTGCTTAACCTCAGTGCTTAAACAGGAGCCCTGGTTGCTTGGTGTTTTTGAGGGCATTAGAGGCACAGTCCTCTATCTAGAAGTAGTTGGGGTTCTCACCTGCTCAGTACCCCAGGAGCAGGAGCTCATCAACACAGCAAGCCCCTGCCTCCCACCTATGCTCTAGCAAAACTGTGTGCAAATTTTAGTTAATTACTCCCCACTCAACTTGCATTAAAACTTCAGCCATTTGTCTTCATTTCTGATTTATTTTGACCAGCCAGTCGCTTCTAACACCTTTAGTCTGATGATGCATCAACAAGCACTAAAATGGGTTACAGGTGGGGTAAGCATACTATGGCCTGCAGACCAAATCTGGTCCCACCGCCTGTATTTGTATGACCAGCATGCTAAGAATGCTTTTTACATTTTGTAATGGTTGAAAAGAATAAAAATAATAATTTATGACATGTGAAAATGAAATTCAGATGTGAATGTCAAATTTCAGTGTCTGTAAATGAAGTTTTATTGGCACACAGCCACACTCATCCTTTTACATACATATTATCTATGACTGCTTTTGTGCCATAGTAACAGTTGAATAGTTGCAGAGACCATCTGGCCTGCAAAGCCTAAAACATTTATCAGCTGGCCTTTTAAAGAAAAAGTTTGCTGACCCGTGGCCTAGAGTAATGATTCTCAATATGGGGCTATTTTGTCCTCCAGGAGACACTTGGCATTGATAGGAGACATTTTTGGTTGTCATAATTGGGAGTGGGGTAGGGTGCTACTGACATCTAGTGGGTAGGGATGCTGTTAAACATGCTACAGTGAACAGGTCCCTACAGCAAAGAATCATCTGTCCTCAAATGTCAGTAGTGCTGAGGTTTAGAAAGGGTGGATTAGAGGGACCCAAGATACTTCTAGCAAAGGGGAAACTCCATCCTTTAATAAAGGGTACCGTTTATGGTCACCTGGGTCTTTAATTTACATGAGTTCATGTAGCCTTCATGATCATCCTGCAATGGAGTTGCTGATAGTCTCCTTTTGCAGGGAAGTTTTTAACACAATTTTCCCATAGCGCACACGCTAGCAAGGCTGTCTGGCTGCAGAGCCTGTATTTTTCCACACCTCAATGCCTGCAGCTACTCAGTGACGTCAGAAGCTAGTGTTGTCTCACTCGGCTGCCCTCTAGTGTGCAAACTATGCAGACGCAGGCCAGTGTCGCTTCCTTCAGGCCTGGGCACCAAGAGGATATGGACCACTCTCCTGACCCCAGTATCTGGCCATCCAGGATATGGAGCCAGGGAAAGGAAACCCCACACTTCAAGCATTTATGAAAACTGACCACGCTCCCTCTTGCCCACTTTAATGCTAGGAGTGGGGACTGAGGACAGGAGCTTTCCCTCCCTGGTGGATCCAAGACACAAAATACTGCTTGCTATCTTTTGAGTCATAAAGAACAGCCATATGCATGAATTTTTGGGATGCTCACATCACAGGATTAAATAAGAGAATCTTGTTTTGTAGGATCTGGCACTCCACTTCCTCCCTCTGTTATCCTAGATGATAAGGAGCTCAAGGGGTCAGATAAATATATGCTAATAAAGGAAAAGTAGAGGACTTCCTGTCTACCCCATCCCACCCCACTGTGGGAATTTCAAGCTCAAATAGAGGAAGGAGGGGGCACAGCAGCCCACCTAGGAAGGTTGCATATGGGCTTATGGTGCCTCCCTGAGCCCTTCAAATCATCCACTTGGAAGGCAGCCACCCATTCCTAAGGCAAACCATGATGGGTCGAATCATCTAATGGTTTAATATCAGATCACACAGCCATTGCGCATTTCTTTGAATTTTATTGAAAATTGACATGGACATTAGAAAGGTATCAAGCTAAACAGTGCTGGTTTGGGGATGTTTCTCCTGGCGAATGAAAGCCCCAGAGGGGCAGTGAAGGTCACACCGTTGAGCAAAAAGAACAAAGGAAAAGAAAGGAAAAACAAACACAGATTCTGGAAAACATGCAAAGAGGCTCTCTCAAGAGACACCGGACAGTGGGATGGTGATGGTTGTAGGGATATATGGAAAGGAGCACACTTACATGGTATTTTGATGCAAGTTAAACCAACAAATTCAAGGCAGATTTATCAACATCAAAGCTCTCCAGCCAGATCCCAGGTTGAGCAGAAACCTCTCAGAACCCCAACTAGCCTTGGAAGGTTGAATAAATGAATTTTGCTCTCACTAAGCTTAAACCCCCTCCCATCTTTCCTTTCTCAACCGGTCAGTTAAATCCATGCTAATAAAGGAAAAGTAGAGGACTCTTCCTCTACTTTTGAGTGTTAGTGGGTCCATTTCCCCCTTGGTGGGGGTCTGCAGAAGGTCTGGGAATGCTGAAGAAGATACAAATGTCACTTGACTTTCTCTTCCATTCAGAAATGTTTACTAGTGGCTGTGGACAGTCAACCCACTGAACCGGAGAATTCGTGTTTAAAAAGAAAAACAAGAAACTCAAACGAAAACTTGTGAACAGTGCTTCCACACCCACAGCTGAGGTCTCCTGCCCCAGTCACTTACACTTGGGTGAGTCATCCTGCAGTTGTCTCTCTGAGGTTACACTTGGTCCATTCTCCAGCTCTGGCGGTTCTTTTCCTGCCTTGTTAGGCTAGGACAAGACACTTTCGTTTAAAATACCATGTAAGTCAGGAGAGAGCTTCTTGCCTGGACACAGGGACACATGAACACTTGCTGAGTGTGTATTGTGTGTGTGTATGTTTGCGCACGCGCATGGAGGGAGAGGGAGTTGGTTGGTTTCGGGTTTGAGACAATGTGGAACCCTAACTCTTCTATAATGGCAGTCTTCTCCTTTAGACTTAGTGCAGCTGCTGAAGACAAGATTAAAAAAAGCTGGAGAGGGAGAGAGAAAGAGAAAGAAAACATGAAATTAGCCAAAGAAAAAGGCTATTCAAAGTAAGACAAGGCGAGGGGCGGGGGCAGTGTGAGGTAGAACAGATTATACTTGCAGAAGACAGGTTAGAAATAGGGTCACTGACGGACCATCACCACCCGGAAATCTGCTGACAAGGCTTTAAGAACAACACACACCAGTTTAAAGCTTCTTGTTTTAATTAAAAAACAAGCACATATTAACAGCCACATGGGAATACCATATGAGTAAAACAGGAAACAAAAACAAAAGTGATCTGCACTGCAGCTAGGAAAAGCAAACTTCTTGGCTTAAGAAATGAGGTGTGTGCGTGTATGCGTGTGTGCACACGCACACATGGGGATTTTTCAGGAGAGCCATTCCATTCCAGAATGGAAAAATAAAAGCACAGACCATTTTTAATGACTGGTTTTGTATTACCAGAAGTAAACAGAGTAGTTAGGGTATTTTTAAAAAACAGCAACAGCCTGGCTGGTGTGGCTCAGTGGTTGAGCATTGACCTATGAACCAGGCGGTCACAGTTCGATTCCTGGTCAGGGCACATGCCTGGGTTGCTGGCGTGATTCAATTGTGCAGGAGGCAGCCGATCAATGATTCTCTCTCATCATTGATGTTTCTGTCTCTCTTTTCCTCTCCCTTCCTCTCTAAAATAAAAATATATATATTTTAAAAGTAATAAAAAAAAAAACAAAAAACAGCAACACTTTTACTAATTAGAAAGCTTTTTCACTGAAGGGGAAAAAACCTTTCTGTCTTACAGTGAGAAAATTACCATTAATCAATGTCACCCCAATCAATGCCATAAAATAAAAAAAGAAAGAAAACTATCCAATAAAATACAATTTTAATTCTTTTCAAAGTGTTAATCGACTTCCTAAAGGCTTTATGATCACTCACAGGTTAGATTTTCGTTTACTAAACTTTCTTGATTATGAGCATCATCTAGGGCACCAGTTAAACATATGCGTGCCTAGGCCCCATTCCAGACTTCCAGGAAAGCTGACCAGCTAACAGGTGCTGGTGACCCCTTCTGCCAGCAGAAGCACTCCCTTCAGGAGTTGCTCTGGGGTCTTCAGCTTTGCCTGCCCCTACCTATCCATCCTTGAATATTTTTCTATGGGGAAAAAATCTCAAAGGCCCTCTAGGAGCAACTATGCAGTTTCTCTGAGCATCAAAAGACCTGATCTCAGCCCTAGCTGGTTGGGCTCAGTGGATAGAGCCATTGGCCTGCAGACTGAACGATCCCACGTTTGATTCCAGTCAAGGGCACACGCCTGGATTTCGGGCTCGGTCCCAGGTGAGGGATGGGGGCGTGTAGGAGGCAGCCGATCAATGTTTTTCTCTCATCATTGATGTTTCTATCTCTCCCTTCCTCTCTCAAATCAATAAAAATACCTTTTTTTAAAAAAAGACCTCGTCTCCAGGAACATGAACAGATTGAAGCCCTTTGTGAAATGGATCTGGAGTCAGGAGACACTGAGTTTGGCCTGGCTCTACCAAGAAACAGCACTGGGACCTCTGGCAGGTCCATTCACTTCTATGGGTCTCAGTTCTCTTAAGAAAAAAGTGGGGCCCGACCGGCGTGGCTCAGTGGTTGAGCATCAACCTATGAACCAGGAGGTCGTGGTTCCATTGCTGGTCAGGGCACATGCCGGGTTGCAGGCTCGATCCCAGTAGGGAGCGTGCAGGAGGCAGCTGATCAATGATTCTCTCTCATCATTGATGTTTCTATCTCTCTCTCCCTCTCCCTTCCTCTCTGAAATCAATAAAAATGTATCTTTTTTAAAAAAGAAAAAAGTGGGTCATGTCTGTCTTGTGGACCAAAATTTCTCCCTTAATACGAAATTCCTGCCTAGGCTCTGAAGGTCTTTCAGGCTGTATGGCTCTAAAACTTTTGAAGTTTTCAGAGCTCTTCCAGCCTCAAGTAAACAAATGCAAATGAGGAGGCTCTATTTGTGACAAAAATAATTACCCAGAGGGGATGGAAGCCAGTTGGTTGTTTTAAGTTTGGGATTTGTGCAGAAGCATCTGTGAAACTGGACTGGAAACATCAAAGCTGCAAATAAGCCTTTCTCCAGAGGGCTTGACAGCCCTAACTTAGCATCTCTCTGAGCTACTGGCTGAGTATCCAAGTTCTTTTTTTTTCAAACTGCTAAGCATAGTGTCTCCTAAAATGCTCCATGAGACTTGGATTTTTCAAGAAACTAGCTTAAGCTTTGGCAGCAACCCCTTCCTTTTTTGCCTGTGGCCACTAACAAATCAGTGACTCACCAAACAATACGTATCAAAGCTGTACTCTTGCTTAACCAACAAGAAAAGGTAACGTGTGCATATGTTTGCTTTTCACCTTTTCTACTTTTCGCTTCCTCTTATCTATTATTGAAGAAAGAAACCCTCTTCCCATACTCAACTCTTCAAAAACGGCCTATTTGACATAGCCTTGATAGACTGTTTCCAAAGAAAGTAACAAAAAAAAATACCCTCAAAAAATTTTTTTTAAAAAATGAAGTCATGGTCAGTGCCAGTGACACTGGGAGGCAGAACTCAAAAAAAGAGGTGGTGCTTGAAGTGGAAGTACATGGTAGGGGCAGGGGACCCAGCTTCCTGGCACCGCGAAGGAAAGCTGTCAGTTAAAATAGGAACCTTGGCTTAAAAGGCTAAATGGAGTCCAGTCCAGCTGTAGCCGGGAATACTATTCAGTACACAGCCATAGATTACTGCAAAGGAAGGGCAGAGAAAGGGCGGGTTAGCCACAGAGTATTGCCAGCTCACCTCCAGCTCTCACTCTCGCCCTGGCTAAACACCAAAGGCCACTGTGCCTGACAGTGGAGCACTCTCTACTTTAAAGGGTTTCCCAAAGCCATGACCAGAATTAGGACTGGAATATTTATAAAATATCAAATCCTTAGACTGCAGGTAAAATTAGGGACCTTCTGAGGATTAACACTTCTTTTCTCTTCTCCAGCTGAAAGATCCACGTCTTCTCATTGTGGGGGGTACATGCAAAATACAGATTAAAACTCATCACATTCACCAAACAGACAGGAAGACTCATCAAAGCAAAACTGAAAACATTGATTCTTTGACCACTCAGTTTGACAGTTTATGACAAGGGTTATTATACCTGCCACTGGCCCTGCCGTTGGGGAATGGCGTGGAGCCCTAAAGGAGATTACAGAGGCGATGCCCAGAAACCTCAGAGTTCCTTAAGCCCATCATTCAAGACACTAGGCTGGCAATAATATGCAGGTTTATTTCCCCTTCTGCATCTGTGGGGTACTCGGAGTTATAGGGAGAGGACATTTATGCTGTTTTCTTCAGCAGTCATTTTCGGGGGCGGGGGTATGGGGAACTTGGTGTAAACTTATTCTGGATTTTTAACACAGCTTGAGTACAGTCACCTTGAGTGAATCAAAACTGGAAAGGGCTGGGAGGCCAAAAGGAAAAGGCATCAAAGGATCTCCTTCTGGAGCCCTCTGAGAAGGAACTGTGGCTGTGTTGGGAGGTGGCGGGTGCTCAGGGAAGCCCAATGACTAGGGGCCAAGGGGGAAAGCCTTGTTGACTGGTGCTTACCCAGTCACGGTGGATGCAAATACCTCGGGGAAGCGAGCAGCCATCAGAGTTCAAACAGGGAAACTGGCGGTGGAGAGTAGCAGATAGGACCCCTGAACAAGTTACACTCTGGCAAAGTTGGAGATGGGGAGTGGCTGGCTGGGAACACTAGGAGGGGAAGTGGGATGCACGATGCATCTCTAAACCACAGAACTGCTGGCTTCTTAACCAGAGGCCAGACACCATCCTCAGACTCTCAGGCTTCTATAAACTTTGGCAGGAAGAGAGGAGAGGGCACGGGTTGTGTGCCCCCGGTCGTGTTAGGGGTAAAGATAGGGAGGCCCAGCTCTGTTGTGCAGGAAAAGAGCATCTACAGGAAGCCCAAACTGAAAATGAAAAGAGAAGGTAGGTTAATGAATGGGTGGATTAATGTACCCCAAACAAAGGTTAGAAGAAAACTGTTTGTCATGATGACTAGTAGACAAATTAGAATATATAGCTATGTTAGATGGTTTTAAGGTTCTATATTGCATTGGCTCCTGGGAACATGCTTTCTCACCCGTACACCCACACACACACACCTCTGAGTGGCAGCAGTAGTGGTATTAGCTAGCAAAATAATTACCAAGAGTCTCAAGAAGACGTTCTCTCTCTTCTTAATTACTAGGTCCTAACTAATGCCCCACACCCAGACACCTTGTGCAGGAATACCTTCAGCAAATGTCCAGGTGGCCGCAGGCCCCTGCATAGAGCACCAGGCTCTCAGCTATTAATTGCCTTGTCCCATAGGGAAAGCAGAGGAGGTTGAGGTTTCACCTCAGGTAGCCTTTGGATTAGTCCCAGTCAGCTAAGTGGTACCCTGGGACAAGAGCTGTTTGAGAAGTGTCTGGTTTAGACCACAGTTATCTGAAAAACTGAACTACGGAAATCCATTATTGGTTTGTGTTCACATAGCACTTTGACCTTTTTTTTTTTCATTTAAACTTCATCTTGTGATATAAACAGGGCAAGTAATATCCATCCCCATTTGACATATGAGGAGACTGGGACACAGGGAAATCAACTGTCTTGCCCAGATCACAAAGAAAAAGATGCAGCCAGAATCAGAGCCTGAAACCCTTGGCTGTTTAATCACACCACAGTGTCCCTGAGAATGCCTTGGCTGTGGATCTAAGCCCCTGTTTTTTATCTGAAGAATACATTTATTCCATTAAATAAAGACTATTAGATATTTGGGAGGGATAGTTAAAAGCATTTGCATACGTGAGTATGTACAGTCACTTCCTCAGAGTGAATACATCCAAACACCTCAACACCACACACACACACACACACACAGGAATAGCAATATACACCAAGAATTAGGAGTTCTACATTCTTAAATAGTTTTTTCAAATATTTTAAAAAT